CTKWAMAAAGGCATTCTGCTGCTCATGCAGTTCTTCCTTTCAGTCTATACGTAGTTTCCAGTGGAAGATGAAAACTTTTATTTTCCCTTTTGATTGTGGATTTCAGTTTATAAGGGTTTTGCTTGTGGTTGTTTTTGTCTGGTAGTGCTTTTAATCCCTCCTGATTTGTCTTTGCAGCCTGTATGTTCATTCGTCAGTGGCCCAGTGGAGGAAATGTGTTCATGCCATTAAACTTAAAGATTCTATTCTCAGTATTGTGTAAGTCCTGAAAGAATGTCATGTAAATCATAATGAATTCCTGTTAARATGCATTCAAAGTTTAGTTTTGTATTTCCTCCTCAGATTTTGGGAATATCAGTTGCCATAACTGCCTGCATGCTCTTTGAGGGACAGTGCAAAATGTTTGGGGAGTAAAGGAAAATACAAGGAATCTTGTACCTGTTGGAAATACCCATCCCAGATGATGAGCTGTAGCTACTCAAAACAGTTATAGGTTGCTATCCTTGCTGTTTTCTTCAGGCATTACAGCCAGATAGATTTCAAAGTCTCTCAACTGGATTTTGACACCTTTGTTACATCCCTTCTCCTGAGCTATATTGTAGAAATCAAAACACTAGGGCTGACTGTAAAAAATATGCTGGAATATAAAATGTTTATACCTTTCTTTCAACCTGCCTTTGGAGCAGAGCAGTCTAACAGAGTTTGTTGTTGTGCCTCCTTTCTCCCCAGACACGTCAAAGGAATTGTCCTGGTGGCACTGGCAGATGGGACACTCGCCATCTTCCACCGAGGAGTTGGTAAGGGCTCTGTCACACCTGGAAAACAGGGAATTCTTAACAGAATTCAGGAGAGAAATGTGCCATTTTAAAGTGATATTTTGATRATGTATTCCCCAATGGCCTTTTTTGGGGCTGTCGTGAGAACTATTTCTATTTACCTCAGCTGCAGATTCAAGGACTGGTTTTGTACTATTCTGGTGCATTAATGGAATTTTTCCTTATTCTGAAATGGAGAATGGGATAGATCTGAGCTGAATAGTGAAAAGCCATCTGAAAGTCCACGCTGATCATCATCTCTCTTGCTTTTTCATCAAGCTCAATAGCTTTGTCTTCTGTTTTATTAGTGTTAAAATTGTCCTTGGCCAGGTCTTTCAGTGAGAATTTTGTAAACATTGCTTTTTCTGCCCAAACCACTCCTGAACCAGCTCCTTTCTTCACCCTCCAGAAAACAGGACCTGGACAGAAGGTCTTATTACAAATAACTGGAACTTACCCATTGGTTTATTTCCACAGGCTCCCTATTAATTTCTTCTTTCCTTTGTGATGTTTAAATCCCTGTGATCCAAAAGGTTGCAGAACCCTAATGCAAAAACTTARTCCAAGGTGCATTTCCCAGTAATGTTTTTAGTGTTTTTGTTTTGTTGGGGTTTTTTAAAACTCACTGTAGTGGCTTAGAATCCCTAGGGGCTGTCTAGTGAATGCCACTGATGACCTGTGGCCTTAGCTCAGTCTACAGAAGAATTTTACTTGGTGTTGAATGACCAAATTTAGTATGCTTTTAGTAGATTTCAGGTGCTTTTTTAAGATCTTGCAGCATTTAAAAAAAAAAAATTCACTGGGCAACATTTCTATGTTCAGCCAAGCAGCAGGTGCCTGGTGCTGTGTGGGAAGCTGTTTGTTTCCACGTGTACTGCTCCTAGCCAAGCAGAGCACTCAGCACTGGGTAATTTGCTGATTTAAAAATGTTTTGCTGGGTTTTTTAACCTGGATCATTGTACAACTTTATTTTTTAGAAAAAATAGCATTTAGGATGTTAATTGCTGAGTTTTKTTAATGAGGAGCTTAGCCATAAAGTTGTATTGATTTATCCAGATTATTGCAATGCTTTAAAAAAATTAGACTTTAAAGATCGTTGCTTGTACTCAAAATTTTCTTTAAACTCATAGGAACCTGAGTTTAGTTGTGCTTTTTGCTCTCCTGGTGTTTTTGCAGATGGTCAGTGGGATTTGACAAACTAYCACCTCTTGGACCTGGGCCGGCCGCACCACTCGATCCGGTGCATGACAGTGGTACATGACAAGGTCTGGTGTGGCTACAGGAACAAAATCTATGTGGTTCAACCAAAGGCCATGAAAATAGAGGTAAGTTCAAATGGTGGTTAAAATAAATAAATGTTATGCATTAATTCTGCAGATCAGACTCCAAAGAACATCTGCATCAGTACGGAAACAGGCAACCAAACAAATTTGTTTTAGGAAATAGTATTATATTTTCTTAAGATTTTATCATTGTTTTGGAAGACTTTAAGCCATGGTGAGACAGTTTTCACCTACTGAAGCCAGTTTTTGTAGGGTTTAGTTCTCCCCTTCYAGCTGGCCAGAAACTGGGAAGTGTCTTTGTAAGGTCAGCCCCCAGCTTTTTCTCTATGTGTGCCTCATTTTGTTCTCCACCCACCTGTAAACTTCTCTGTAATCTTTCTTTGCACATCTGAGAGGTTTATAAGTGTTAATCTTGAATGTACTCTCCAGTCAGAGAGTAGTTTATGCAGGGTGTGTGAGCTGGTGTTTTATCTGCAGGATTTTATCTGTCATCTCAAGGGCAGAAAGTGGCTGAGGTTTCTGCAACCCTTGAGCAATATCAGTGCTCCAGCCGTTGGCCTGAGATGTGGGCCAGGCCTTTGAGAGTGGAGATCAATCCCCCAGTTAATAACTTGTTTCTGTGAAGAAGATTATAAATATATAAATACGGGAAAAATGAAGTGAAGTTGATGCAAAAGTGAAATGGGTTGTTTTGCTGGTGGTTAGTGTGTATTTTGCACAGTTGGGTTTGTTTGTGAGAGTCAATTGTGACAGAACAAGGAAGAAAAGCACTTTTTGGGAATGTGGGCTTTGAGCAGGATCTCAGACCAAAAGATTTCAGGTTCAAAGGAGACAGAAGCTGAAGCAGGCTGGGATGAGATGTGTGAATGAGCACAAAGTAGGAAACTGCAGCTTTGAGRTCCCACTCAGGGAGGGCAATCAGCGATTTTACAGCATCCCATGGTATTTGCAGCTGAGCTAAACTCTGGATTTTGGAGATCAGAGGGTCATGCTCGATTTAAAACTGCCAGCTCTGTCAGTGTGAGAGTAACACAAACCTTCCTCACTCTCCCTTTGTTTCACCTTCTGATTTAAACCCCAATGTTTTCTAGAAGTCCTTTGACGCCCACCCAAGGAGGGAGAGCCAAGTGAGGCAGCTGGCGTGGGTGGGGGACGGGGTGTGGGTGTCCATCCGCCTGGACTCCACCCTGCGCCTCTACCACGCCCACACCTACCAGCACCTGCAGGACGTGGACATTGAGCCCTATGTAAGCAAAATGCTTGGTAAGTTCACCCAAAAACTGCTGTCTTCTTGCTGTGTGCAGCTTGYCTTTCCTGCTCGGGGTCAGGCAGTTCTCACTGCTCATTTGGGGCGAGGCTGGGTGGAGGGGCACTTCAATCAGTTTGTGCAAACTTGACTAAGCCTCAGTCAGTCTGTAAAGCATGATGGTACAGTCCTCTGTTAGTCTGTTGTCCTTCCTGGTGTGCAAAGTGTCCTTAAAAACTCCAAACTAAGGAGGAAAATGGTGGTTGGGTTGGGCAGGCATAGAGAAATCAAGTCTTTCTCTTTTTCTATTTTGATGCCCCTTTTTAACACTGAAAATGGGAAGAATGCATTAATTGCATGGAAAAAAGGCCTATTTTTCAAAAAAAACCTCCCACAAAATAGCAGATTTTTATTGCTAGTGAACCTAATAAGCTGTTTTTTCTTTTTAAATTAATATCCATATAAGAGCAGTTTGACCACCTACATTACATAACAAATGCAGGTAATTGAGCCCTGGGAAATCCTTCACTGGTCACTGCAGTGCACTGCACATGGCTGCTCAGCCTTCTGCCCCCCTCATCRTGCTAAAATGGATGAGAAATTCATTTTAATGGATGACAAACCATTATCTTATATCTGTAAACTCTTTTTTTTGCTTGTTTTAAAAGCTGGTGAGCTCCAAAAGATTTTACTGTGCAGCATGATGGGGCTGTTATACCTTTTTTATAGTTAATTTAGATTTTTGCTATATAGGTTCGCAACTTAATTACAGTGTTGTAGCCTTTTAGGTTGTCTTTGCAACTTAAATGTGCTCTCCTATTTTGTTTCTGTCTCAAGTGGGAGGGAATTATTTGTCTGTGTGATATGGGAGTTGGATTKAAGATTCTCTGTTGTACAACTAAAATTATTCTTGCTCATAATTTTTGATGAAAAGCATCTTTTGTTTTTAGGTACTGGTAAACTGGGATTCTCATTTGTGAGAATCACAGCTCTTATGGTGTCTTGTAATCGTTTATGGGTAGGAACAGGAAATGGTGTCATCATCTCCATTCCATTAACAGAAAGTAAGTAAAATATCAATGAATAGCACTGTGCAATATGCTGTAGACACACAAAAAAAGAGTATTAAACACCATTCACATGCTTGCTAATGGATAGAAAGCTTCACTGCCAGGTTTTACTCTTTCAGGTTTATAATAGGTCAGGCCTGTGTGATGTTCAGCACCTAAATCTGTGTTACAGTGGTTACAGTGACTCTGAGAACACAAMACATCTGCAGAATCTGCTGCACTGCACTTTGAGCAGAGTGGGCTTGGAATCAAAGGGACACTTGGAAGCCTTGGAGGTGTTCTGAGCTTTAGCAGCATTGATAGAAGTTTATTGCTTATAAGAGACATCATTAGTTTTCTAATTACTGTTATTTTTGTATGCCATATGATCACAAAGTAGATTTTTGTTAGGTTTGAGCACGCTGGTGTTGTTGTTAATTCAATTTGATTGGGTTTAGTTCTTGAGAATTCATCACAACATGGGTATGAAGGGCTGGAACAGGAGTGGCACAGTGCTTTGAAGGGCACATTCTGAGTTACAGGAGCTGTAAACACATTCTACAAACAGGGCACTGACTTCCAGGTCAAATTCCAAYCTTATAAATCCAGGTATTTGCTGACTAACAGAACCCAGACTCTCACCATAGGCTGGAATTATTTGAGGGTGGGATAGGAAGCATTCAGATGTGGGCAGTTGATCCTCAGGAGAAAAGAACAGTCCAGCTTGAGGGCAAAAACAAAGCTTAAATAGGTAAAGCTTGGAAAAAATCTCTGAGTGAATTGATTGCATTTAAACAACAACAAAAAAACCTCAACACTTGTGCCTGAGATTARTGTTAAAATGGGGACAGAAGTTTCAGAAAATCAAATGCAGACTACTAATTGTAGTTGCTACCTAGAAAATAGTGTGACAGGTGACGTTTTAGAGTGGTTTAATAGTGAAAACTCTTCATGTTGTATCTGCTTTGTTGAACAGCACACACATGCATTGTTTCTCATATTGTTCCATTGCATTGTCCATCATTCAGTAAATGTCTTTTTTTTTTGCCTTGCATGAATGTACTAAGGAAGGACAAACTTCCTGTCACGAATTTGAGACACTTTAATCATGCTTTCAAAAATTATGCTCTTAATTTGCGTCAAGCTTGATTTGATGTTTCCGGAGGAGTTTGTTTGAAACCAGGAGTGAACATGAAGAAATCCCTATTAAAGCTGCTCAGTTTYATTTCAGTTCTGTTGGTTGGTTGTGGGTCAGAACAGCCTTTTGGGGGGTAGTCTGGTAGTGGGATTGAGCACCCTGSTGAGGAATATTGATGGTTTTTAAAAGCAGTCACATCATCACAAGCAGTGGCATCTCTCAAACCCCTGAGTCTCAGCAGCAGGGCAGCAGATGATGTTCCAAAAAGACACTTGATACCATGAATTGTTCTGTATTATTCTGGAGCCTCCTGCCAAGGAAAGAGAGAAAGGGGAAAGGTTGCTAATCAATAATAAATTTTAAAGCACATGACAGTGGCAGTACTTCCATGTTTCATTTTGTACTGGAACTTCTATAACAAGATGCTGTTCTTTGTGACTTTTGATTGAATCTTCTGTAATTAAATATCTATTGTTTTTTTTTAGGAGCTAAAATTTTAAGCTCTACCTTATCAAAAACCAAAATATGAGTGGTGGGTTCTCATTAATCCTTCTCCTCTACTGTCATACCTATCCATTTCCCCTTTCCTCCTTTCTCACTAGCTGTAATCCTCCACCAGGGACGTTTACTGGGGCTGCGGGGTAAGTGCAGATCCTGAACCAAAACCTATTTTCAGGCTTCTAATAGCCACTTCAAGGCTGTTTCCCACTCCTTATAGATTTACCCTTTGTATGTTCCTAAATGTTTTTCCACTTGCAGTTACTGCATTGCAGCAGTTTTATGTTTGCTAAATGGCCACCAATCTGCTCAGCAGTTTAGCATATCATCCTGTGTTGCAGCTGAACTCTCATCCAGACTTTGTTTTTCTTCCAGCCAATGTGATACCACATCTTATAACTTTGTCATTAATCCACATCATTTGCTGTCTTGTTACAAATCACTGTTTCTTTCACTACTTTGATAGTCCTTGGAATGGAGATGGCTTGTATGTCTAGCATGAGTACTTCTCTGGTTTAATGGATTTTAAAACTTCTCAGTCAAATCTAGATGTAGAATGGCAATAGGGTAGCTCCTTCGTGCCCACAGGTGGCTATTTCTGGAGAATTTTTGCTGGCAAGGGGGTACCCTATGATTAGTTGGAATGAAATGTCTTTAATTACATGTTTGAGTACATGGAATTTGCTCACACTGAAACATGTTAGAGGTACTTATTTTCTATGAAAGATACAGTCCTTTCACAAATTTATTTTTTCCCAAAAGTAGGACATTGAAATCTGGTGTTTATGCTAGACTAATAAGAATCCTGCTCCATTTTCTGATGTACTTAAAATAACGAAGCATGCAATCTTTTTCTTTCCAGCTCTGTCTTGAATTGGCATTGCTGCCCTCCTGTTTCATTTTTATCTAAGTTGGCTTTAGCTTTTAGATGGTACCATAAGGTTTCTTAACAAATAACCGCTTCAGCAATTTGTATTTTGAAGTAGAAAACAACTCCTTTTCTTTCACAGCCAACAAAGCAGCAGCAGGCTCCGGAAACCGTCCGGGGAGTGTGATCCGTGTGTATGGAGATGAGAACAGTGACAAAGTGACTCCAGGGACATTCATCCCCTACTGCTCCATGGCACACGCACAGCTCTGCTTCCACGGCCACCGGGATGCTGTCAAATTCTTTGTTGCAGTACCAGGTGAGTTTTGTTACCATTCTTTAAAAGTATCTTTATTTTTTTTTTTTGCATTGTTTTGCTAAATTTAACCCAGTGTCCAGGCAAAGATAGTAAGAGGAGGAATTTGTACGTTCAGAAACTGTTTACTGTGTTTTAATTACAAGACTTGTAATTGCAAAGTGCAGCCCTCTTTAATGGGAGGAAAAGGGCTTGGTCCCAAACAGGGACTTTGCTTCCTTCTGTAAAAAAGGGGCTGTGCTAAGTTAAGAAGGCACTCAAGTGCTTTAGGCATTGTCATCCAGTGAGCAAGCACAGAGAGYTTTACTCTGAGATAAGGCATTAAAATGTGCTCTGTTTTTCCCCCAGGTCAGGTTGTTTGCCCTCAGAGCAGTGGTGGAACTGAGCTAACAGCTGATAAACAAGCCCAAGAGTCCTTCAACCAGAGTCCCTTAAAATCAATGTTGGTGATAAGTGGTGGAGAAGGATACATTGACTTCAGAATGGGTAAGAAATCTGAGCTTTAAATGAGTCATTACATATGAAAGGTTATTAACCACGTAATAACTGCTGCAGTAATTGCAGCCAGTGCATTTGTGTGGTCAGTGTGTACAGCCTTTACCATACACWGCAGGGATGGAAGTGTTTTTATTCTGACACACACCTCCAGCTCCTCYTCCTCCTCCTCCCAATAAACCGTGACCTCTGGGATGACTGTGGAAGGTTTGTTTGAAATTCTGCTGTGGAGTCATGTACCACCTTCCTGTTTATGCTTTCAGTCTGCCTTTGGCAGGTTAATCTTCAGTCTGAAACTGCTGGAAAACATGTTCTTAGTTACTTAAACATGCAGCCTGACTGTAAAAACAAGTCGTGTTAAGTGAAGAATGCTCAGTGTAAAATTTACTCATTTTTGAGTGGGAAGGAATAAAGCAGATCACTTATCTCTGCATGCCCATCTTATTTGATCACTGCTTTTCTTGGATAGCACTTTTGCATGAGCTAGCCCATAAAAGAGTTCTTGTGCAAACATTTATCTTTCTTTTAATTGAACTCTTCGGGAAAATAATTTGAGAGCTGTTGTGTTTCTGTGCTTACAATCTGCAGCTGGAGACCTTGATAAAAAGTGCATAAAAAGGTGTCTGCACTTGACAAGAAGTGCATAAAAAGRTGCCACAACTCAGGCCTGGATTTGACCTTTTGCCTAAATCTGTCTGTAGTCTTTCAAAACCAACCAGACAGCAAAACAWCCCACAAAAACCACTACAAAGGAAAACCCAGGGAGGCCATCCCAAATCCTGTCACCCCACTAATCAGTGACAAGCAGGTTTCTGGGGTGACCCTGCTGGATTTCTGGGGGAGGCAGGGATTGAGGCAGTTCTGGGCTCAAGCTCTGCACTCACTCCAGGGCAGCTGGAACAGCCACATTCCATTTTGCTGTSCCTGTGGCAGGATACAAAGCCATGAGCTCAGTGTCACTGCTGTCTCAGCCCAGCAAACTGGTCAGGAGCAATTTGGGGCCACTCTGTGTTTAGATCCTTCAGCCCTCCAAAGGAGTCTAACCAGAACAGCAGCCAGAACGTGATCTGGCACCTTCCTGGAGGTGTGGGTCAGTTCCTGTTTCCTCTSATTCAAGTGCCATTCTCTGGATTGATGGTCCTGGCTGTCCACGTGCAGCTCAGGGCTCACTCTGTCAGCTCTGATCCCAGTGGCTCCTGTCACCCAGAGCTCAGACACAGCTACAARGCTGCTCTTTTTTGAAGAGCAGTAATGGAGAACATGCTCAAGGCTGTCTTGTGCAGAGTTGTGACAAGCTGGGATAACTGGAACAAGAGGAAAAAAAGGGGAAGGTTCATCCCAGACAGTTTTGTCATCTCACTTGTGCTCAATTTCAGCTCTTGTTCCAGAGCATTTGTATGTTTGTGTTTATCCCAGAACAATTTCTAGTAGCAAAGCCATCTCTGTGTCTGCCTGGCAGTTTGCAGATTAGGAGGTTTCATTACCTTAAAGAATTATAAAAAAAAATGAATTATGTAGAATATGGATACTTAGGGAATTGCCATTATTTTGGGGGCCCAGAACTGAAGAATATGGCCAGCAGAGCMCTGGGCTCTGAGATAATTATGCAACATGCTCTGTTTACATTCACAGACTTTGATATGGTTTTATATCAGCATATGGCAACTGCTGTCTTTTTAGTGCTTTTCTTGTCTTGCTGCATGTGCTGTTGGTGCTGTTWTTGGCTGCCTCAACCAAAGCTGCTTTTTTTTCCAGGTGATGAAGGAGGAGAATCTGAACTCCTGGGGGAAGCTCTACCACTTGAACCTTCTGTAGCCAAAGCTGAGAGGAGTCACTTGATAGTGTGGCAAGTCATGTGTGGCAGTGAGTGAGCCCATAGGATGCAGCTGGAGACCTTAAAAACGAAAAAGAAAAAAATAAGGAAAAGAGAATATATAAATAAAAAGGCATGTTATTTGGGTATTAATAACAAAAAAAAAAAAGCTTCTGCATGTTTTTTTTTTTAATTTTGTGAACCTGTTTCACTACATGATGTTGAAGCATTTCTTTGCTGTTTAACTTTATATTGCAAAGCTGTCATCCCTTTACCTGTACAGGAATTAGCTCGTGCTGTTTTACTGCACCCGTGTTCCATGGAACAGTGTGAGGAAATGAGAAGTTTCTCCAGCTGGCGTGCACACCACAGTGAGCAGCTGAGACAGTTGTACTGTACCACAGCAATCTAATGTGTTCACTTCTTTGGTAGTCTCACTTGAGTTCAGCTTTGTTCCAACTGAGCTTCGTTTCACTCTATAACACATTGGGTAAAACAGCAAAGTTATTCCCAGAGTATTAAAAAAGAAAAAAATGGACAAATTATAAAATGGATTATTAAGACTCATCCAAAKAGTCAGTGAGGGCTAAAGCAAACTGGATTTCAGCTTTTGTTTTCCARCTTGGAAAATCTTGCTCACACAGTGTACATGGTTTAATTTGTTACATTCATCAGAATTTGGGGAGGAAAGAGGAGGCTGTATAGGAATCAAGATGAAAATATTGAAATAAAACCATGTTTTCACTGTTGAACCTGAAAGTTTGAGAGCTGCTGCCCTCAGTAAGGAGCAATTTTGAGGATAATGTTTTCCCATCTCCCTGACATGGAACAACTGTTTCCAAAGGGTATTCTTAGGGTGATTTAAATTGGAAAAAYAACTGTAAAATTCTCAAACAGGGGATATGTTTTGTTCTTTTCTTGTCTTAAACTCCTTATGTCCTAAGCACTAGAATGATCTTCTCTGCCTAGCTGGTCAAACTCATGAGGCACTACGTGTGTGAAGGTTGGAGACCTCAATTAGAGCATGAGAAAAGACTGAGAGTGTACAGGAAAAAAAAGCACATTCTGCCCAAGTGAGATCGTAAAGGAACTGTGGTGTCAGATAATTAGGTACAAAATGTATTTTTTTGTAGCTACATACCCCAATTTAGTAAAAAAAATAATAATACTAATTTAGCAACAATATTATCAGGTAACACAAGGAATGAGAAAATTATTGAAAGTCAGGAGACTCTAAAATTAGGCTGACATTCTGTCTACTCACCATCTATTTTTTTAACCATAAATGTGAGTTGAAGACTGTCTTCCTTTTTACATTGCAATTTCTGCATTAGTATCAAGCCTAAGTTAAACACTTCATGATTTCTGTACTTCAGAATATTAAAAAACCCAGATATGCTCTTTCATTCAGTGTCTGGAAAGTAAAAGTTTTGAGGGGTTTTAATAAACATCCAGCATTTACCCCCAAAAGGCTGGAGCTATTCAGATTAGCAGAGAAATTTAGTGACTTAATTATGTGAGAGTACTGAATGGTTTCAGAGGAGTAAATATAGAAACACTTTTTTAAAACTGCCTAAACATTTTTATGCAATAGGAGCAGTTCTGGTCTATCAGGCAAACATGTGTTTATATATTTTCTTAATTTTTTAAATGAACACATTTAGCTGAGGTCTATTGTGTAAATATATATTTAGGCAGCTTTTTCAAATGCATATCATAGCTGATAAACCAGAAAATCTCCATTCAGGTCTATTGGTTAGATTTATATGTATAAATACTTTTTAAGCGACATATTTTGTACACAGCTGTTCCTCTCGTAAATATGTATTTAGGACATGAACTATGTAGTAAAAATCCTTATTAAAGATGTCTAATATCTTGGTAGTATTTTTCTCTTCAGAATGCCAAAAGTGATGAGAGCATGTTGTTCATAATTTGCTTTCCAAATTCATCTTGAACGTCACTCTTAAAGTACTTTGGCTTAAATATAAAGTCTGGAAGCTTATTAAAAATTATACAAATACAGAAAGTAACCTGAATCAACATTCTTAGACCTATTTTAAACTTATAGGCATGTATGCTGAACATGAAGCACATCTGAATTAACTTATGGGATTGGATGTCTTAAGAAAAATGCTGTCTAAACTTTTACTGTTGTGCAGAATCTTCACTGTGAGCGGTGCAGTTTCATTGCTTTTCCTGCCATTTCCTTGAATTTATTTTTTTTTCCTCTCTCCTTTGGAAAACACAACCTCCAAAGTTTTTTTACTCACTGTTCGATTGTCACATTCTCATGTTCTCAGAAAAAAAAAAGAAAAAAGCGCACAATTGTGTTCCTGGGTTCTGTGTAGGATTTTCTTTGAGGTTAGAGATGAGCTGTTTGCTGGCGAGTGTGTACCTGGTCTTTTGCCAAATGCAGCTGGCCCACCGTGCCATGGTAGCCACCTCAGCGGGCCAGCCCTCGCAGATATTTCAGAGAACCATTGATTGTTTGTGTCCAAAAGCGGGAGGTTTTTAAAGCAGACACTAGGGTTGAACTGTGTACCACTGTGGGTGTAGATAAAGGCATGTGCACTTCTCTGTATTTCTCATTTAAAAACTTTATCCCCTGTGCTAAGGTACAGTAGATAACCGGGTCCCTGTTGCCATCACAGTGTGCTGGGCTCTCTAAACTGCCCTCGAGGTCRCTTGGGAGGGTGAATAAAGCACGCAAAGCCCAGGCACCGGGCTGACAACACACCCTCGACTCCGTCTCAAGAATGTGTTTATGCATTTACACTCGTGATTAAAGCATCATATAAATAGGAGCTAATCTCTTGATAGGCTACAGCTTGTTAATAGTTTGGAAACATTTCGAGCACAAAACCTGCAGCACATGACTTGCCTGGGTTGGGGGTGTTTGCATGGTTGGGTGAGGCTGCATCGTCCATTCCTTGGGAAGGTCTTCCTGCTCCGGATGGGATCGAGCTGACAGAGCGTAGACACTTTATCATAGGCTGCCTTAGTAACAAACAAATGTTAAACCTGTTTTATTCTACTAACTGTTCTAAAGAACGTGTGTCTTTTAAAAAATGCTGTGTAACTGAATATTTATTTCCATGTGAGTATTATAAAAGTTACCAAAGGATTAAACCTGACTTAGCACTCTGTAAGTGGCCCTGTTGAGGGCGGGGGCCTTGGGAAGGCCCCGCTCTGGAAAACGAGACACGCTAAACTCAAATGCAGTTCTTCTGTAAGGAAATTCAATGTTCTTTTTCTAACAGGGTTATGCCATATTGTAACGACCTATGTTGCACCTCAAAAGCATTTTTCTATACACTAAATGTCTCTCCCGCCCTCTAACAAGATTAAGTTTCCTTTATTAATTTCGTTGATGCACATTTCTCAATCTTTTAAACATATATTTTAAACATTTTATGGTCTGTAATTTTTGAAAGTTTTGTCTGTTGGACACTTTACGCTGAATTTTACTCGCCTCTGTAATCTGAGATGGATTCTACAGCGTTAAACTTGCTGTCTGTTAAAACTTGAGGCTTCTTTTCTGTGAGCAGAAGAGCTCATATAGCAGTGTAGTTATTTCAGTATTTATTTCTATTATTGAATCCATGGGGTTCAGAATGTAACTTTGTACATGAAATATATATAAATATGTATATGAAACATGCATCGGGTCMGTGTGTTCTTTGTAGTCTCGTGCTGATTTTGCAGAGTTTGATGGTACCAAAGGCTCAGTAATTGGGGATTTTACACTCACAGCYAAATATTGTCATTTTCAATGCAGGTAATGAAGTGTTTGAGTCAGTCCAGGACCAGTGTTATCCAAACTAAAGCTCTGAAGGAAAGTTGTGATGTCTGKGCCTCTCTCAGGACACAGATCTGGAGGAGATTTGCTTAATACAGCTCAGATGAAACAGATGCAACAGATGCTGACCCTGAGATTTATTTCTGAAGTTGTTTTAGCACAGATTCATCAGAGCTCAAATGCTGCTTACTTCCTGCTCAGCAAAGGAAATGCTGCATTTTAAAGGCAAAAGAATGGGCTTGGTGACTGCAGGAACAGAGCCAGGGTTTTGTGTTTTCCCAGCTCCCTGCCCCTTTCTCAGACTGTCCCAGCTGTGTGTCCCRAGTGTCCCTGGCTGTCCCCAGGGCTTGGGGACCCCTCCTGGTGCAGGGAGCTCCTTCCCAGCAGTGCTGGGGACACAAACTCCCCCTGCCCTCCCCGTGCTGCCCTTGGACACGACATGAAGTTGTCTGATACCTCCAGGACAAAAATCATTCAGAGTTGCACTTGCAAACAGTGGAACAATCAAATACCCACTGTCATTCCAATCCGAAACTTTATCAACTTGCTGCTTAAAAAAAACAACAACCCAAAACCCATAATTTTTGCTCACTTAGTGGAGTTTTCCTGCAAGATTTTTGCCTCTCCAGATCTGTTGATGCATTTCCCTGTCCTCACAGTGATTTTTCTAGGGCCAGCTCACACAATACATTGGGCTGAGGCTCGGTGTGTGTGTGTTAAATGAAAGAAGCATCATCAGTCTTCACTCTGGAAATGTCGCAGCTCTTCCAGCAGCCCCGAAGCCCCTCAGGTCTGGCTGTAATTGAATTTTTCAGATCCTGTGTTGAGAAAAACATGAACTGGGTTAAGGTGCTAAATGATGTTTAGAGCCACTGGAAACCCCAAACCCTCCTGCACTGGCCATGGGATTATGGGAAAAGCACTCGCTGTTCCTGAGGCAGGTTTTWAAAAGTTCTCTCAGTTAGATCAGATCCTACACAAAGAAGTGTTCAGGGCAGAATACACACACTGTTTAGAAACCTTTTCAGTGTGAATGCTTTTATTGAAAAGAATTTTTTTTTTTTTTGCTGGAAATTAAACGTCAGACTTCCTGAGGGAGACCATTTTCCTTTTTCTACAACACAATAAATAGTAAATGAAAATCTGAGGTTCTTTTTGGCATCACCTGCCATTTTCATCCTCCTGTCTGAGCAATGCAGTCTGGAGCTGGTGCTGATCATCCCGGTGATCTCTGATGCACAAATGCCCCTTAATTCTGCTCTAGGATGAGCTGTGAGGGGSCTCTGCCCAGGGAGGGTCTGCAGG